TTTTGTTGTTTTTTTTTTTTTTTTTTTAATCGCTTTTTTTTTTTTTTTTTTTTTTTGTCTCTCATATTGCGGATCTAGAACAAAAGCATATTAGGAAATGTACATTGTGTGCCAGAAATATGTTTTGTTTTTACTTACTGATTAGAGGAAGCTCAAGTGTTGTGACATTTTGCATGTTTTGTTTTTCTTACAGTATAACTTAATAAAAACTCTATATTTTGTTCATTTCAATATTTTTTTTTATCAAACTCTAAAAATTGTCTTTCTTGTTTTAATTTACATTTTTGCATTTAACAGATGCTTTTTTCCAAAGAGAAATATAGCATTTTATTTCAATATAAGGTGGTCGTATAGGCCAGCCGCACAAAGACGATACAATGATTTAGGGATGTGTTTCAATCCCTGAGGGGGGTGGATCATTACAAGCATTAGGTCAGTTTATGCTGGGATGGGTTTCAGACAACTCTCACCAGATGTCCTGCCAACCCCCTCCTCCTCTTTGCGTAGTTTGTGTCAGGGGGGAGAGATCTGTGGCGTCCCGGTCTGAACAAAAGGAAAGGCTGAATGAAAACAACCCCAGTAGCTGCCTCAGCTGGTCCTGGGTAGTGTTTACAAGTGAGGTTTGATTTACAGACGGTGGTAAGACTCTATAGGGCCCCTTCTAAAGCTAACATGGAGATTTATGGGCACTCTCACTTGCATGGTATAGCATACAATGTATTTGCCAACATATTGTAAAAGCTCTTCTGTGCAGCAAATAACATGTTTAGACTTCAGCAACTAGGTGAAATCTGTCACCACATCCCTCAGGTTCCCGCAAGCATTTATAATACCCCGTAATTTTTTTTTTGGGCGGCTTTTGAGTGGATTGATTGCTGACTCAGCCGTGTGGCAGCAGCGCTGGGGCTTTTGGGAATGTGCTGGCCTGCAGGCCTCATTCTTGACCATGATACGCATTGTGTGCTCGTCTGCACGTTCTCAATAGTACTGCTAATCCAGGGAGCTGGAAGAGCCACACAGAGTCAGGAAAACACAGAGGCCTCACATGGGGGAGGATGTGATTCAATGTCAACAGTAACTTTTGCTTGTGCATTTGGTTGTTGTACTCGGGGATTAAGTGAATGGTGTGGGCCCCTCATTGTCACTTTAAAAAAAAATTAATGCAGTTTTTTGGGGGATATTTCATCCAACAATAAAATTCAGTTTTTACTCACCTTCAAGTTGTTCTAAACATATGACATTCATTAATCTTTGAAACAAAAAAGTATTTTTCTCTCCATACAGTGAAAGTGGAGGCGAAATCAACATTAAACATTTAAATTTGCACATCAAATTATATATGTTTGCATTTCATACATAAAACACACTTGATAGTTCACCAAAAAAAAGTGAACTATTACTTTAAAGTGGTTTAATTTGAAATCAGATTGTCTCTTAGGCTACGTTTACACGACAGCGGTGTAGTCAAAAACAGAAACGTTTTTCCCTTGCGTTTTTAAAAAGTTTCACGTATACACAACGTTTTCAAAACGATTCGTGTTTACACATATCCGCAAAAACGGCCTAAAACGCTGTATTACGTATGCCAAGCCAGTAGTTGGCACTGTCACCTTGTTAGTAAACCGTACCTGTAGGGAAGTGAAGATTATATGATGCGTCTCCGATGTTGGTTGTAATATTGGTGAAGTAAATACACTTTAAAAATGTATCAACGATATAATGTTTCATATCGTTCGGTATCGATAATTATTGACGTTTTTACAACCTTTTTTAAAACAGCGCAATAGAAATTTTTTTTTAAATTGAACCACTGTATTTTTAAATTAACCCAATTTATTGAGACAAACAACAAATATTTTTTGTTTTAACAGTGAAACACACAATAAAAATTTAACGAATATCTAATTTCTAATGTTTTATATGCCGATTAAATAGGTCTTAAGGAAACTTTTGGCTTGTCTCCCGAGGCTAGGGTGCCATCGTGACGTGTTTTCTAAAAGTTTAAACTGTTTTAACTTTGCATGGTTACATCTCTTGTGTGAGACGTGAGTGCAGCAGTCATATTTGTCCATCGGAAAAATGCGCTGAATATGCATTCTGTGTGAATGGCTTGGTTTCGGTTTTAACCCATTCAAGATCTTCTCCGCATTGAGCTTCTTTATTTCTCTAATATTTTGAATGAATAATGCAGCAACTGGGCGTCTCGTGGGCTAGACTAACTAACATCACTTGCATCATCATCACCGCATCTCGTGCTCCACCGATGACACTCCCTGACGCACTCCTAACATTTGATTGTACTATTTTTGCATTCAAATGCAAATGTTTATTTTAAATTC